CATGAGTAAAATGGAAGTTTACACATCAATAACTCTAAATTATTTATTTTACTTATCAGAAAATATTTATATWTTTGAAACATTTACGACATTTTATTTGGTTGTTTAAAATTTTTTATGCACCAAAAATAGTGGTGGGGCGGCGCCCAAGCGCCCCCTATTGACCACTGCTGTAGGACCTACCTAAATATTGTCATTGAACACCCACAGAACCTACTAAAGTCCACAACAGACCTTTAGAGATTCACAGGAGTTCTTCAGATGTTAGCACTACACCTTCAGGTTATAAGAGTCTTGGGAAGTCTTCAAAGGAGTCCTTCAGTGGTCTACTTCAGAGGTTTACAGCAGACCCTTAAGAGGTCTATTGCAGACCCAACGTTTAGAGGTTCAAATGAATCCACTCAGGGGTTTCCAGGTGTGGACTGACCTGTGTGCTTTGTTTCAGAGGTGAAGTGTGAGTGTAAACCAGGTTATGCTGGAGATGGTTTCAGCTGTTCAGGAAACCTGCTGCAAGTCCTCAGATCTACACCCACCTTCTCCAACTTCTTCACTGTGAGTACACCATGACTGCAGACCAAGAACTACCTCAGATGGTGACTCTAACCTCACGCCAACTCTCCACAGCAAATCCTGAACTTCTCTGAAGTGTCTGAGTCSGGTCAGCACTTCCTGAAGCGACTCAGTAACCTGCAGGTCCAGTCGACCCTGTTTGTTCCTGATAACAGTGGACTAGCAGAAAACCAGGTGGGTCTCCCAGAGAGGTGAGTCTCTTCAGACAACTCCTTCTGTGTTCTCACCTGTTTGTCCCCACAGACTCTGTCCCAGCGGGACATTGAGTTCCACCTGTCCGAGGGTCTGGCTCTCCCTCTCAGCCAGCTGAAGAACGGCAGCCGCATCAACACCCGTGTCGGCAGTCTGACCGTCCTTGGAGTCAGCGATCTGTTTGACCCCACGGCTCAGGTGAGAACACAGTGGTCAGATTTACAGGTTCTGTTTGGAGTTTTGATCAYGTTGGTTCCTGCTGAGGTTCTAAAGGTCTGAACCTGTTCCTTCTCTTCAGACTTCCTGTTTCATCAACAACCGCTTCATCACCGATGCTGACATTCCGGCCTCTAATGGGGTCATCCATGTCCTGCAGGGACCTCTGGAGGCTCCACCTCCCCATCAGCAGGTGAGTGACATCATCACAGTTTGGGTTTAAATTGCTATTAAATCAGCTGACCTGTGACCCTGCTTCTGATTGGCTGTTCAGATGAAGGCGACACAACAGGCAGGGATGGGGTTCGGGGTGGTTCTGCTGATAGTTCTGGTGGTTGGGATCGTATTTGTTGGATATCGTTTCTACAGCCGGAACACCAAACCGTTCCGGTTCCACTACTTCAAGGTGAGATCACCTGTTTGTCTCACCTGAGCAGGACATATGTACAAATAAACCAGTTTTAGTATTTCCATGTGTTTGAGTTATGTTCCATATGCTGAGTCATGATTCAGATACTGAGTCATGTTTTAGATGTGGAGTCGTGATCCAGATGCTGAGTCATGTTCTGCTGGGTCATGTTTTAGATGCTGAGTCGTGATCCAGATGCTG